CGGGCAAGAACTTACTCCAAAGCTGAACAGGAATTGAGATCATGAAACCAAAATAAAACAAACAAGCAAAAAACACTCAGAAATGTGCAGAAAGACCTGCGTGTGTTGAAGTGCCAAGGATCCCAGAGAAGGAAAGCGCTTAGCCAGGTGAGAAGCTGCAAGGGCAGGTGCACCTGCAGGACATGGGCACGAGCTTTGCCTGGGGTGGGAAGGGGCCTCCTCCACTAGAGCAGGAGAGAAAGTAGCAGCTGACTCAACTGGGGAGTCAGATCCCACCAAGGGGGCACCTGCATGCCAGCCTGCACATTCTCCCTGAAATAGGGCACAGGGACCTCCCAGGCCAAAGAGAAGGGAGGCAGAGGGCTACGGAGAGAAGGGTCAGGCAGGACCCACAACCCCCAGTCCAGGACAACACAAGGGGCCCAGGGGCAGCAAGTGTGACACGCAGGGAGAGGGGCAGGTACCTGGCCACTCCTTTTCTCATGGGAAGCCACTGTTGTTTTGTGGAATAACAGCAATCAGAGGACCAACACTGACACAGGCAGAGGCCGCACAGGTGTTTCTCTCTTTTATTTAAAAACAGTGCTTCATTACCATTTGCAAAGGCTGGGCAAGTGCCCCTCCTCTGCTTAGAGTTTATAAAAGCCAGCAACATGATCAATAATTTATACACATGGAGAGTAATACAAAAAAATAAGGAATAAAAGCTAACGTCTAACTACTCCGACCTTCACAATTCCAGCTACTTGATAATAATAGGAGTAACCCAATGAATACTGTACGGTCTGACGGCTACTATACAATATGATCTTACCGAGAGGGGAGGGCGGTTGGGGCTGTCACCAGAGCCCCGGGGTGCTCCTCGGGGCTTAGCAGGGAAACAGGACCCTGGGCAAGCAGCTCGGGTGTCCTAGGAAGTGAGTGATTCTGGGGGCAGCAGGAAGGGCAGCAGGGAAGGCTGTCAATTGTACAAGCATCCCACAGGGTGGCCCGCTGCCCCACGGTACCTGTCTGCCATGGCAATGGGAGGGGCCAGTCCCTGCCAGGGAGTTTGGGGGTGGGGAGACCGAGGAGAGGTTCTGTGGCATTTTGAGCCTTGCCAAGACGTGGACTGGAAAGCTCTGGGCACCGGCTGGGCTGGCCCATCGGGGGTGGGAGGCACCCCAGCGCTCTCCTGGCCACGCAGCCTGAGCTTACATGTGAGCCCCTGGCGTGCTCCACAAGCAGAATCATAACACAAGAAAAACAACTCATGTCTCTTAGGGGAGAAAGAGGATCACTTCATCACTCGATAGGTTATGCAGCCTGGGGGGCTGCCCCACAAGCACGCACACACAATACTGTGAACAGACATGCGGGCAAAGATGTGGCTGCAAGGCTTGTGGGGCTGCGGGTCTGGCGTAAAGTACTTAGCAGGCCCCAGAAAAAAACAAACCAAAGGAAAAAAATTTTCTTAAAACTCCAAAAACTTGCAGTGTACCCCCCTGGGGAGTTAGTGTGGGGCTCAGGGGTGAGGGGCAAGGAGGGAACCCCTGTTCCCATTTTGCTTGCCGGGATGAACGGAGCCCTCGGTTGCCAGTCATGGGGTTATAGCCACCAGAGATGGGGCGAGACCGTGGCCCCAGGCTGGCCAGCTCCCGGAGAGGCAAGGCCTGTGTCTGGGCTGCCGAGTGCTTGTCTGTTACCGACCCCTGCCAACCAGTACTACCATGGCTGAATTGATCTACCGTTTTCCTGAGTAAACTGTACCTGGCTACAGCTGTGGTAACGTGGACAAGAACACGGCCGCTCAAGGCTTCAGTGCTCGCTTGGGCCCTGGGCACCTCATGCTTGGTGCTTGGGAGTGGGCAGTCTGAGAGCAGGCCGGAACCCAGTCTGGTGTGTAAGCCTATTTCCAAAGAGAGCTGCCAGGGACTGGACCATGTTCACTCGACCGAGGGGCAGCCGCTGGCTCAGGACACCCAGAGCCTGCTTGGGAAGGGCCTGTTTCCCGTCCAGCTCCCGATGGCTGCCACCCATTGGTCAGCACAGCAAGCATGGGGGACGTGCACGGGGCAGGCAGAGGGTTGGGGGAGGCTTTTCGACGTGAACATTTTCCAAAAATAGATAGTGCTGCACGACACAGAGAATCAAGTTTCAATGGTGTATAGTACAAACAGCCAAACATGTTCAAGAGCATGACAAAATAAAAAAACACACATTTACGTGACGCTCACCTTGCCCACTAATGTTTTCCTATCTTGAAACAGTGCAAACAGGTTAACTTCTGCTCTGCATACACCATGGCCCTGCCCACTGCCCGCGTCCCTTTCCTTCTCCTGTGTGTGGGCCACCTGCTCTGCTGCCCAATGTGACCACGCTAGAGCCAGCTGGGCCTGGTGGAGGGGCAGGGTACCTGCAGCTTGCCCTTTCCTTCTCTCGCTGCCCCAGTGCTTTCCAGAGCAACCTAAACAGGGCTCTGCTCCCAGAGGAAATGGCATCTCATGCCCTTCCTGCAAAGTCTGGGGTGGCAGTTACAAGTTGAGCTGGCACTACAGCTCACGGACAGCAGAAGCTGAGACCAGTGCACCCCAAGGAAGAGGGAAAGCTGCTGTTGCTGGTTTCTCTGGATTAGATCTTCTTCTAGCTCCCCACCAACTGGAATTGAGGCCCAGTCCACTTCAAGAAAAAAAAAAAAACAAAAAAAAAACGAAAACAATGGGTTTGCTTTGGCCTCCAGCTGCTGGAAGATAATGGTGCCAGCACAAGTGCCAGCATGGGGTGGAGCTGGATGGCTCGTGGGCTTCTGGAAAAGAACTAAGGGCAGTTTTCTGGGCTTCGGGGAGGAAGACGTGTCCCATGGGAAGTGTGGCTGCTGTACAGCCGTGAAGCAAAAAGCACTGTGTCCTGTCGTGGCTCAGGCAGCCCTTTGGAATTCCCTGCCAGCATCCTCCAACGCACCGGCCGTGCTGACTCTGTTCTCTAACCTGACGGAACTGGAGTCGGGGCACATAAACAGTGCAGCTCAAGCCTGGGGACAGTTGGGGAGGGGAAGCTGAGAGGTGAAATGCAGATGCTTACAAGAGCCCCAATTCTCAGCTCTGACCATTGGAAACCAAAGCCCCTTTTGTAGAGAGCAGAACTCCATCCCATCTTGCTTAAGGAAGGGGGCTGGAGGAAGTGACACTCGGTGCCAAGCCTGGCAATGCAGCAGAAAGCCACTTGGGGGTCCGCAGCCAGGACCAGCTAAGCTGAAATTCTCACAGGGACCGCAGCCCCAACTCTGCCTTGGGCACGAATCCCTCTGCTCTGCACACAATCATTTAACCCCAGCCTTGCCTCCCCGCATGCGCAGGGCGGGCCCTGCTCGGGATGACCCAAAACTTTTCCCAGTTTCCCTTATTCAGCTAAAGACCTGCCTTGAAATAAAAGGAAAACAAACTCCTCCCTGCCCTCATCCCTAGACTGTGCCTCATCCCACACCTCTCAAGAAAATATTTATATACATGCCAATAGAAACTAAAGTAGACTCTGGCTTGGGGTGTCCTTCATGAGCTGGCTGGCTGCTGGGGTCTTTCTAGGCTCCCGGACGTCTCACCCGGGGAGAGGGGTGAGAGAATTCCCAAGGGCTAGGAGATGGGCTCGTGCACATCAGACTGGGCCCTCTGGGAAACAGCATGTGGCTTGCCAAAAAGGCTCACTGCTGTCACATGTCAGTCATTTTAATTCAGGGACAAGTCAATTACACCTGTGGAGGTGGGAGGGAATAAGCAGAGTCTAAGCAGCCCCTTGGAAAACAGGAAGGCCACGTCACTGCATCACTCCCGTCAGCAGCTCTGCCTTGGGTGAAGGGTCACCCGGGTACCCATGTGGATCGACCATGGAGCAGGGCAGACGTGCTCTTCTGGATTCCTAATGCCTTCGCAGAGGAAGTGCTGTGCGACCCTCGCCCCTTTCAGTTCTCCCCAACGACCGCTAGAAGAGAAGCACTTTCTCTCCTGTCTGGATTATCATTAAAGCAAAGCCAGACTGTGACAGCAGGGACTCTGGGGTGGACACTGCAATACGGAAGCCCCTTGCCATCTCAGCCCTCCCTCCCCTGTGGGAAGGGAGCAGGCTCAGGAGTGCCCCAGACCACAGGGCTGTAGAGTTAAGGTGAACCCAGAAGCACAGGGGCTCAGCCGGGTATCTTTGGAGGCTCATGAAAAGCTGGCTGGGGCAGGCGGAGTGTCGAAGGCTGTGGCAGAGAAGGGACTCCCAGAGGCTCTGGAAAATTGGAATTCCTATGGCTTTGGAGCGAGCACAGTGTGCTCTGGCTGTCCTGACGTGTCCTGTTCACTGACACTCCCAGGACGGCCGGCCTGGCGCTGGGCCGTTCTGCCCCTGCAGGTTCTTCACTCTAGCTTTCTGCTCTGTACTGATTTTCTAGCGCGAGAAGCAGCAGGACAGTTTGATTTAACACCCTTTTCTCTTCCTCGGCCTTTGCAATGGTTCAACACTCTGCTAGCACTCACATCCACCTCCAGAGCCACAGAGTTGGGGGACTCTGGCCCTGGATGACTCTATCTTCCTGTCCCTGGCTCCTAAATTCCTGAATCTTGAGGACACAGGAGCAGCACGTGAATAGAAGAACAGAAGAGCTGAGCCGCGGGTCAGTTAAAGGGGAAGCAGCCTGGCAGGAAGGCCAGGATTACCGAAAGGAAAACAAGTGATCTTTTTTATACTCCAGAGTTCACTGTGAGATCTGTTTCCTAATGAGGTGTTTTTCATCCACAGTCTGAGAGCGTGTTTGGAAAGATCAACACCAGAATTCCAAAAACTATGCCAACCGTCTCAGGCTGGGTGTGTATGTAGGATGATTGTAAAAAGAATGAGGGAGACAGGGAGGGAAGAGGAGAGGAAAGCACACTTTTGCATGCACTGCTTCCGAAACAGACATTTCTATCCCGTAGCAGGTGGATTCCAGCCACAGCCAATCAGAACGGCCTGCCAAAACCCAGACACTGAGCAGACCAGGAGATGCTGCTGTGCAGAGATGGTGCCCTGGCTGCCCAGCACCAGCACCGCTCTGGTCCATCTGGTTTCCAATCAGATGCATTCCTCAGCTCCTAACATCTGTCTCTCCTTCCTCATTCACTTCCTCTTCCATGATTGACAGAATAAGCTAAGCACGGACATACAGACATGGAAATGCATTATTATTATTTTTTTTTACCACAGTTTAAAAAAAAAGAAAGAAAAAATGCACAATCTTTGGAACAAAAGAATTAAAAGCAGAAATTTAAAGAAAAAAAATACATATTCAAAGAACATAGTGAGGTATAAAAAAGTATTCTCTCTTTTTTTGTTGTTGTTGTTGTTTGTTTTTCCTCTTCATCTTGCTATAGAGTTCCTCTACTAGTAAATATTGCAATAGCCAGGCCTCATGAACTGGGGGCTGTCCCACTCGCAGGGGTCTCTCACGTCACTTCAGTAGGGGGCAAATCGGCTGTAGCCACCTCGGTATAAACTCGCCTGCAGTGATCAGAAACATGAAAACAATTCAGAGGTTGGTGAAAGAAAACACTAGCAATGAAGAAAATGTCCTACCAAAGTTTTGGGAAGAAAGCTGTCTTTGCAGCTCTGAGGACTGTCACAGAGGGGCTCAGCCGACAGGTGACAGTCAACTTCACTGCGTCATCAGGAATCCCAGGAGGGGCCTGGCACTGTGCCCACTCGGCTCTGCCAAGTGCACTTTGCTGCAGCCCACTGCATGTGGGTGCTAACGGCCTCTCCTCCCACTGCCTAGCACATGTGGGTACACCTCTGTTTAAGATGGTTTTGTACCCAAACCTGAGTCAACATTTAGGAAGGTCTATTTGCTTTTTCATCTATAAAATACTCTGACCAGATGGTGTTCTGATGTACATGAACTCGTATCTATAGTGGGGGATTCTGATCACCGAAACAGAAACTCTCCTTTGTTCTATTCTGTGAGTCTGCTGGACGACTGAAGTCTTCAATCAGCAGTTTCCCATCTAGAACATAATCATTTAGGTTTCAGAGAAAACCTCAGGAATGTCCACCATTGCCCTTGTAGTGTGTGCCCCACCTCTGTTGCCCAGGACCCGGTTACGGGTCACCTGTAGGAATCTGGAGCATCTTACCCCACGGGCCCCGAGTTTCACAGTTAATTCTGCCTCCTTTCTCTGACAATTGTATCCACACACACACACGTGGGGGAGGGGGAGACGAGGCCAGGGATTGTCTTTGCTGGAGCCAGTGGCATGTGGTGTCTGCCAGCACAGGATGCTGCGGCAAGGATTCTCATGGCGGGGTAGGGGCAGGCGAATGGCTCCACATGTGCTTACGGATGTCTACTGCCAGGAAATCACCAAGCTTTGCCACAACTGTTGTGGAGGGAATAAGCGAACCAAATGGCCTCTCCTGCTGACTCTGGGGGCACCTCCAGGAGACCTGGGCAGGGAAGCTATGCTTCGGCACAAGCGCTTGGAAAGGCTCTCAGTGAGAACTGGAGAGCCTTACACCCCCCATCCCAATTCCTGTTAGCAACACTACAGCACAGGCAGGCACCTGAAGCTTGAGCCAGTAATAAGACATCAACTTGTCTTCTTGTTTCTCCAGCAGTTGACTTGGGAACACTGCTTATATCTCCCTTAGCCAGGCCATGTGGCCCATAGCATGACATGAATATATAAGACAGAGCCACATGGCTTTAATACATTGGCAGTGGAGGGAGGGTCCAATTCACTTCCCTAGATCTTTTGCATAAGCAGGAACAAGTTGGAAAGGATCAGGTGACTCTAGAAGAATCGGGTCTACATACTTACCACAGCGCCAACTCCATAGCTAGCGGCAGGGGCGAGGGCATGGTAGGGGTCGGCTGTGTACACCCTGCCGTAACTGCAAAGAAGAAGCAGAGTCAGAGGCTGAATGGCACAGAGGCTTGGCTTGACGAGACATAAGGGGCAACTGTGCTAAACCCCTGGTGTCTCGGCAGTTAGCAGGAAAACTGGCAGAATGTGCTGAGTCTTTTTTTTTACGTTTACTCCCAAATGCAGTAACTGAGAAATTCTGAGTGACAACTATCAACTAGAGGTGATGAGGATTATATTCGAGGAGGAGTTGTTGTTAGTTACAGAAGACGAAGCCGTGTTTGTGGATGGCACAGGCGGGAGAGGGGGCTGGCGTCTGGGGAAAGCGTGGCACGGTGCTCACGGCCTCCTGCTCTACATACCCATCGCTGTAAGCAGCGGCGGCGGCTGCAGCGGCTGTGGCTGCGGTTGCAGTAGCAGGCTGTGCGTATCTGTAGGCTGCATATCCACCCTACAGGAGAGAAGAGAACCGACTTTACAGACACGCCTCCCCCCAGGGCCAGGTAAACACGCTCGCCCAGGCACAGACATACACACACATGGAGACACAGGGACAGACACAAACACAGACACACATATGGGAACAGCATGTTTCAAACTGCCTTGGTCTGCATGTTTTGGCTCTGAGAGAAAGTAAGGCTCCACTCAGCGTAGCAATTTGCCTTCCAATCTGTGACATGGTACACTGTACTGGACATGGAAATTCAGGAGTTTGGACCTTTCTTACTTTAGTCTTTGCTGCAATTTTCCAAAGGGAAAATCTTGGGCAAGGCAACTAGGGCAGTGGCTAAGACCCTGCTTGAGACGCTCACATCCCTGTGGAACTAACGGGATTCGAGTCCTGGCTTGGCTCACTCCAACTGTGCATCCTGGGAGATGGGGAGATGGCTCTGGGAACTGAGTCCTGTCCAGCCAGGAGATATGCATTAGAATCCCAGCTGCTGTGGTCCTGCGATGGGGGTGGGGGGGATGGTGAGCCAGTAGCTGGAAGCCAGCTTTCATGCTCTTTCTCCACCTTTTAAATAAAAAGAAGAAAAAAGAAACCAAGGAAACGATTTACAGAAAGTTGGGAGAACTCTGATAAAAAATGTAAATAAATCAGAGTTCAAGCAAATAGATTTGTATTAAATGGATATGTGTCAACTTCAGATTCTCTGGTGTGTCCACACAATTAGTCACTGAGTGGAGACCATTGCATGTAATGGAGTCTGCCCCAGCTCTGCTATATCTAGCTGGGGACAGCTTTGCCAAGAGGCCATGATGATGTAGCAACATTTAGGAAGGAGCACCACAGTGCCAGGGTGGGCAAAGTGACCTGTGAATCAGTGCAGCTTGCACCTGCTTTTGGAAGTAGTCCTGACACAGCACATGGCCTACAAGGCAAACCACTGGTGCTTCATGCTGCAAGTCAGTCAACCCTTAGCCATGTTTCAGACCCTGGCTGGCCTGATACATATCAGGGACCACGACCCCATCACTGAACTGCACAAACTTTCCTTCAACCTCAAAGCAGGGTCCAGAGCTTTCTTTCCAATGGTGCAAATGACCTTTGAGCCCTAAAGACTTTCAAACCCAATGATTCGTCCCTGCTCTCCTCCCTCGGCTTCGATGAGCTGAACCCTGCAGAGGTGTGGTCAGGGCAAGTGTGGAATCACACAGGCTCCTTTCACAGACTTTGTCAGAGACCACCACAGCAGCAGGGCCACAGGCCAGGAGCTTGGTTACGAAGTGGTCAATGCTACTTTGTCGCTATCCTTTTAGAATCCATGCAATTCATCTAAATCTAACTCATGAATTTTTTACTGTTGTTTTTTTACTGCTCCCAAAAATGATGTTCAGCCTGTCCATTTGGACACCATTTCAGGAGTGAAGAAAGGAGAGCCCCAAGGGATCTTTGAAAAGCTCATGGAAAACACATATTATGAAAAACCTATGTGAGGATTTACAAGTCAAGAAAATGATCTTACAAATAATCTCAGCTATTTCTATAGATTAAATGTGTCCACTTCTCATGGGCATCTGAAACTTTCTGTTCCTTCTGAAGTTCAATTTTTGTAAGTCTACAAACATGGGCATCGCTCTCAGGATGCGAAGCAAGTATTTTTCATGGAACCCTACTTCTTCCTGGCCATTTGAGACACGGCATTTTCTAAGCTTGCATCTTTTTATTCTGGTGAATCTTACTTTGAAAATATTTGTACATTACATAAGAAAGAAGCTTCCTCACCCCGCTCCCTTTTTAACGTAATTTCCAGTTTCTCTCACTGAAGGAACTACACTGCAAGGCAAATTCCCTCCGAAGCTGCTCCAGGGGCATTAGAGGAGCCTGGCTTGCTGCCACCTGTGTCTCCTCCTCTGGTCCTTGAGGTGCTTGCACGGTGAACAGTCCTTCTCAGTTACAAACTCCTCCCTGGGGAGTCAGAGAAGTAGGCAGTTCTGCAGAGCATCATAGAACACCGGCAAGGAAAGGGTCATGGCTGGGGCCGGGCACAAGATGTTCCCCTGGGAGGCAAAGAGGACGCGTTCCTACCAGCTCCCTAGAGGCCTTTCAAAGAGCTGGTAGAAAATGGAAATAAAAGAGGTTGATTTTGGTGCAAAATTAAAAAAAAAAATCCTTGTATAGCTTTTTCATATGTTTCTATATATTTTTCCCCTAAACATTTTGAAGATCCCTTGTACCCTTGTATCTCAATACTACAACATTTTTCACTTTTTAAAAAGGTAGAATGAAATTAGAAATGAGGCAGCAGTAATTTCTGTGGACTAGGCTGGAGCGATCCCTAACGGCACAAGTCGAGGAGGCCCTCAGCGGGTCATTAGGGCAGCTCCAGCGAGGTGTCTTTGCAGCACTAGAACATTCTGTGGTTTGCCTCTGGTACTCCTTCAGATACGACAATCACCTATAAACACTTTAAAAGGTAAGGTAATAAAAGCAGCTAAATGCTGGGGCTGCCGCAGTAGTCTAGTGGCTAAAGTCCTTGCCTTACATGCACCAGGATGCCATATGGGTGCTGGTTCATATCCTGGGTGCTCCGTTTCTCTTCTCGTGGCCTGGGAAAGCAGCTGAGGACGGCCCAAAGCCTTGGGATCCCGCATTCATGTGAGAGACCTAGAAGAAGCCTCCTGGCTCCTGGTTTCAGATCAGCTCAGCTGCAGGCTGTTGTGGCCATTTGGGGAGTGAACCAGCATGTAAATCTTTCTAACTATCCTCCTCTCTGTCAATCTGACTTGCCAATAAAATAATTCTTAAAAAAAAAAAAAGCAGCTAAATGCTGGTTCAAGTTTACTGAGGCAGGCAGAATGTTTTACCACTTGGGCACAGCCAGAGGGCAGAGGCACAGAGGACTCCTCAGAGGGTGGGCTTCGGGGCAGACTGCCTCATAGACTCTGAACATTCTGTTCACTCCAGGCTCTGAGCTGCGCTCCACTAACTCTAAAACAAGGAAGCCCCCAAGGAAGCCCATGACAGAGACCTCTGCCCTTGCTTTTTTGGCCTGCCAGAAGCCATCAGAAGGTAGAGGGTGCTTAGGGCAGGACCCTGGGGGCCGAGGGGCTCACAAGTGAGGGGACTGAGGGAAGGACAGGCGAGCTCTCCCCAGAGTAGTCTCCTTCCAAGTCTGGAGTCAGATAGCAGTATTCTCGGTCATGCCAGCCCAGGAAAATGGGACGGGGATCAAACAGCTCTCCAGAAGGCTCGAGAAGACATCAGCAGGAAGGATAAACCACATCAGCAGTCTGAGGAGGGCATTTCCGCATGGCTATGTTTAGATGGGGAGGGAACATCCTGCAAACTCACCAAGGGCTACCCCCAAATTCAAATAGCTCAGCTGTGCACCATGCTGTTATGTTTCTTATACATATTCTTACTCCAAAGCATGTCTGTGGCAGCCTGAATTGGTTCTTCAATGAAATTTATCACAAACTGCAGGCCAGAGAAAATTGAGACATATTGCTATCTATTTTAGATTTTGGAGTGAGTCAAGATCCAGAGTGAGAAACTGTTTTCTTCAACTTGCAGTTTTACTAGCCAATCTGAAGGTTTCTAAGGAACATGAGAACAAAGTGCAGTTTGAAACACCAAGGTTTTCATTACTTGTTTTTAAGTTTTTCAAAAAGAACAAAGGTGGGAAGGAGTGGGGGAGGGGGCTCAGGCGTGGGGAGGGGAAATGGCGCCACATTTATTAATCACATTAAAAACTAAGCATGCCAACATCTGGAGCTAAAACCACCAGCAAAATCACCACGGTCAGACTCGGATTGGCTAACTCTATCTATCCCAGCATTCTCTTGGGACAGCGGTTTGCCCTAGGCTCTACAACAAGCTTGGTGAAGTACACAGCCTCAATTACTAGAGCGTGCAGCCACAAAGACCTGGTATTACGGAAACAGTCAGTCACCACTGGAGTTAACATTCCAGACCCTAATGGCTGGCCCCGCCCCAGCCCAAAGAAATAGTCAATCTTGCCCACCCTAGCCCTGGCCCACACCACAATGTTAATAATTATAACAAGCAGTAACCCATCTGTTATATCAGAGAAGGGAACAGAGACTCCACTGAGAGATTTAGAGTGAGATGTTAACATTTCTTCAGCTGACTGCACAAACAAACAAACAAAAAAGAGGAGGAATAATTCATTGGGAGATATGAAGTCATGAAATAGCTGATGTGTATTGCTTTTAACCATGCACTGATGCAAAACTGAAGCAACCATTAATAAAAATGAAGAACATATGTATTTACACACAATCAGACCTGTTTGATCTGAAGCAGTTTGCAGATTCTATCTGTGTGTGATGTGAAATAAAACAAAAATGGGGATTAGCATGGCCACAGCACACCCTAATGCAGGAGGGCACACAAGGACAGCTCGGGGCAACTTGGAGAGTCGGACGGATCTGGCACGGCTAAGCCTGATTCAGACACACTCGCCCCATGACAAAGGCTTTTTGCTGCCTCTGTCTCTTGCTCTGTGTGACTCTTACTGGGTCCCACTGACTCAGCCCAGTGCTACGTCACTCCTCTTGCTCACCTGCCACCCTGCCTGCGGCACTCCTGTGTTCGTTGTCAACACCAGAGAGACCTCCTGGATTTCAGAAGTTTATTGTTCACACATATCTGTCAGGTAGATCTGCCTTCAGCCTCCAGCTTTTTAAAAAAAAAAAACAAAACAAAAAGCAAAACAAAAGCACCCGGCCAAGCTGCTGCCCCTCAGGGCCTTTCCTGTAACGACTCTGGAAGTTGTTGTGGTCTCAAGGTCACCTCGGGCTCCTCTACTCTGTTCTGAATCAATTTGTCATCTCATTACAATTTTACAAAGTTGCCACATGGACCACAACATTTTTTCTGTGTAGAAAAATGGCAGGGAAAAACCCAGAGTTGTGTTTCAAAGACAGGATTCCAAATACCAACCCTGTGTATCTGATCCCTAGCTGCCTGTCGGCTTAATCTCATGCTGGGAGACTTTTGCCTTGCCTTGACTCTAACCTAGCCTTCAAAGCTATTCATTTTGGTTTTAAGTTTACATCAAAACAGGACTTTGGTGAGCATGTGATGTCAAGACACCCCCTGATTCTCCCTGGGAGACAATGACATTATGTGACACTGCGGAAGAAAGTGGGTATTTCAAGACCAGCAGACAAAATGACAGCTGTTCCCTACATGTGGAGTGCAGACCAGCCGAGGGGGCGGGGACGGCAGGTGTGTTGCCTGGAATCACTAGAGCAGAGCGGAGTGCTGCTCCAGCCAGGGAGGCATTCACGCTGGCCTCTGGGACCCACTCTACCGGTCCCCAGACAGCCCTGGCACCCTTGTCACCCTCACACCTGCACGCACCAGCTGGAAGCAGAGCTCCAGCAGACATTACAGAGCTCTGATGTGGTAGTATGGCACCTCTGGCTAAATGGGAATAACACAGACCAGAATACAAAAACATCACGGTGATCTCATCACTCATTTTGACTGACACTTAAATACCTCGAAAAGTCTTAATGAATAATTTTAAAAGAAAAGTAAATTTTATCTTCGTATTTAAAATTGGGGTCAGGGAAGATTTTGCTATGCTCATGTGGCATTTTGTATTCACCACTCCTGTGAGACATGGGGGTTGATCTTTAATGAGTCTTCCACTCTCCCCAGATTAGTTCATTTCTAGCCTTGCTGGGTAGCCACACGAGCAGAGCATCTAACTGGACGGTGAAAGGCCATTGCTGCTTTCTTTCTCTACTAGTCAGCTATCAGTGACCTTCTATCAAGTGAGGTACCATCCAAATGCCTCGCTGGCCTTCTCAGGGGGAAGGAGGAGAAATGCCCATCTCGCTGGCCCAGGCCCAGAGGCTCCAGAGTATTCAGGTAATTCCCAACAGCTGGAGCAGCACAGTCCAGTTGCTACCAGGACAGCAGCCTGAGGCCCAATGCGGAATTCCCTCAGTTCCTCTCTAGACAGAGCTCCACTTCCTCCCTATTTTCAATCTTTCACAACAATAACAAAATGTCCCCAACGGCTAAGCTATCCAATACAGAGGAACAGTTTCCACACCAGGGGCAACTGTGAGTGACAAAGTAAAAGAGAGTGGCAGTGATGGGACGGGGCATAGAACATGCTGGCACATCTCGGAGGCACTGGCATGGGAGCGCTGGCTTCTGGAGGGAGTGCTGCCAAGTGGGCACTGTGGCTGTGCGCACTGCTGAGATAGCAGGGCTTAGAGCACACGCTCACAAGTCTTGATTGTCCAAAAAAGCCTCTGTTCCCATCTCTAACGTGGAGCTGGAATGGTTAGTATAATTCAATGTTTTCACTGCAATCCACAATCTGATTGATTGGCAGGTCACACTGGCACTCCTACCTGAGGTATTTTAGCGCTAATGATTGGTTCCTGTAAGACTATTCTATAACAGAACACAGGAAGAGCAGTTCAAAAACACAGCTGTGGAAGGAAAACAATCATACAAAATGCCCGCTGAGGGCACACCAGCCTTTTCTTTCCTTTGGATGCAAGCATGCTTTTCACAGGAGGAGGATGGGGGCAGTTGGGTACCCACTTACAATGCTAACAGGGGTGGACCATACCTTTTCTACAGGTCCAAACAAAAGGGAATGGGTGGACACACCCTCCCAGCCCCATCACCTAAGCCTCTTTGTAGACCTCGGGTGCAACTGCGAGAGGGCAGTGCTCCAGAGAGGAAGGGGCCAGGAAAGAGACAGACAGAAAGCAGGCAGCTAGGCTAGCAGGGGTCACAGTCTACCACCAAACAGGGAAAGGAGCCTAAACTGATAGAACTTGAGCAAACCCAGCTTCCCTTTGCTGTGTGTCTGAGGCTCTGGCTTAGTGTGCTCAGTGCATTTTTTACAGAATAACTCTACTCATCCACGTTCCTGAAACAACAAGAACTGAATACCCTGAGAGAGTTCCAGAGATGGGGAATGCACAGAGAAGCAGGCTGACTCTAGGTAAATGGCAGTGTTTTCAGGAGACAACCCTTGCTCCCTCACATATGGAATATATGATTTAAGAAACTAGGACTACATTATGCCTTTCTCATAGTGCATTCCTGCTTTTCATTAGGGAGTTTAGATATTATTTCAGCACTAGCAATCAACTCCCCCCCTCCCCAAGTACCTTAAGTTAGGAACAAATCAATGATGTTAACATTACAAGGGGCTCCTGGTAAGAAAAGGATGTTGGCAAGCTCATGGAGAATGCTCTTCTTTTGCTTGGCAAGGGGATCTGGCTAACAGACACAGAAAATTCAACAGGATTTTTGATATGTACAAAAAAATCTCTCACAACAAATCTTAGATTGTAAAATAAGGACATGAGAGAACCATAAACAAATATTGGGTAACTGACAAGGTAAGAGCAGGCAATTCTTAACAAGACAGTATAATAGGCCACATTTAAAAAAACAGTAAGAAACCTATTTCAGAAAAATCTTGATTTATGATATAATTCAAAACGAAAAGTTTGCACTAACAGACAAGATTTCAAGAAAACAACTTAAATAACAGAAAGATGAATTCCGTGAGCATATGGAGACCGATGGCCATGGAGAAGCCCATGCTGGCACATGTGAACACATGCACTTAGGAAGGGCTGTGAACATGGGGAGAACAATGTCCTTTGTTACTTCTAGAAGCCATTCAGAGGAAAGAGGTGGATTTTAAATAAAATACAGAGGCAACATAACATAGATTAGTTGGGTTTTATGCTTGACTATACAAGGTAAACTATAATCTGAGAAACGTATCTGTGAATTCAAGGGGCTGGACCTATTCGTAGCTAAGGTTTAGGTAGTTGTTAAGTCAAGGCCTACTTGGGCCAACTCTACATCGTGTGTTTGGGTAGACACCTGCACTTTGGGGCTTGTTATTACTTTGCCTCTACTTCTTGCAATATTCTTAAGGACATTAATGTTGCTGGTTTGCTAGAGAATCTTGAGCTGATGGTGGAAACGGCCATTAAAAACGTACTCTTACTGATTCCAGAATATAAGGGTAGAAAAGTATTTTGAGGTAATTTTAACCTATCCTCACACAATAAATCCTCACTGGCAAACTTTCCTAACACAATTCTTTCTTAATCAATTGGGTAACTAGATCAAATCTCCATTCAGAAAATGACCACTTGGAAAGGTTCTAATATAAGTCTTCCAAATCACAGACCCTGGGGCCAGTGTGGTGGCACAGTACATTAAACCACCACTTGTGAAGTCTCACCCCATATCATAGCCATACTCTGAGTCCAAGCTGCTCCACTGCTCAGCTGGCTCACTGCTAACGTGCCTGGGAAAGCAGCCAGTCCCTCACCCACTTGGGACACCTGACTGGAGTTTCAGGATCTTGGCTTTAGCCAAGCCTAGTTGTGAAGTGAAGCAGTAAATAGAAAATCCCATCACCCATACTTGAAGTAATATGTCACAAATCAACCACAGAACTTGTAGCTGTGGCCACTTTAAATAACGCAATACATGCTAACGCAGCCAGCAGAAGAGCAGTCTTCTAAGAGGTCTGGGCTGCGCGTCACACCTCTCATTCTCCTAACAACCCCTGGAAGGAAAGGGGCCCAGTGGGTGTGGACCTTTGGCTAAAGAAAAGCCTTTTGCACTGGCAGCCTCTTATGACTAACACTCTTCCCTGGCATCTGGCTTCTCATTTCAGGCTCACAGTTTCTGTTCTTGCAAAGCAGGTGAAACAGGAAAACACACAGCTCATAGCGCTTACTGACATCTGCACAGATCACAGCTCTGATGGTCCACAGAGGGATGTGAAACGAGAAGACGAGCAGAAGAGGGAAAGAGCTTTTTAAAAGACTAAGCTAGTCCTGTTATTTATGTATGCAAATGATAGGACAGCATAAGAGACTTTAAACCTGCTGATCATCTCAAATAAATCAGTGACCCACAAACATCTGTGGTTAGAGGGAAGGGAAAAGAATATGTCCAGTAGGCTGAGCCTAGCACTGGTCAGGAGACCCAGAGGCGTAGCTTCTGCACCCAGGGGCAAGCGCAGTGGCAAGAGAAGCATGCTTGCATTCTTAATATATAAATGTATATATATATATGTGTATCCACAAGGAAAAAGGAAATAAAAACTCAATAACTTATATTAACAACAACAACAACCAAAAAACCAACCAAACCAAACCAAAGATACAGAAAAAAAAGGCTGGCTTGTTGGGGGTGGGGTCAAGAAGGCCCCAGGGTGTGTACTTACATAGAGGTCAGCACCGTAAAATCCGTCCTGGTAAACCACACTGCAGAAAATCCACACAAAAACAAAAACAAAAAAAAAAAAAAACAAAAGAACAGAAACACATTCCGGTTATTGAGGACGGCAGCATGCACATGCGCTCTACACAGGCAGGTGATGTAGGAATATGTGACTGGGGCCAGGGCTGGGGCCACAGCGGGTCAGCAAGGGGAGTGTGAGCCACAGGCACGTCCCACAGTGGCAGGACATGCGAGCAGAGCCCAGGGGTGGAAACCGGGATGAGCAGCCTGGCCACTGGAATGGCAGAAAGCCCAAGCAGCAGGGCAGCAGCAGGCACTCCCGGAAGGGCCTGGTAATGGCTACCCACGATGTGCTGGGTTGGGAACATCAATGTCTTGTGTTTGGAATATTTTCTTTTTAAGATAAGCCTGTCCCAGGAGGAAGTTTTCTCTTACAGAGGTGGACATTGGGGATGGAGTGGAAAGGGGTTTAACACGGGAAAAAGAATGAATCCAAAGAATTCCACTAGCATTGACACACAAAGTGTGCTTCAAGATTATGTTTAGCATTTTGCCTTCGATTTTGGGGGTGATATGCAAATTTTCCCCTGATATCCATACATCACCTGCTTTTAACCCTGCACATTAGACATGCGATAAGATTTGGCTGATCACACAAGCATGCAAAGTATTATTATTCAGCATTTTAAGAACCAATGCAACACCTCAGAAAAACAAGTCAATCAATTCTGACCAAAGTAAACAGAGAAATGTAATTAAAAAAAAAAAAAGAAAACACAACCAAAAATACCCACAATGCATTGCTTTCACAAGCAGAGATAATGAGCTAAAGGTTAAGGTGATTGGTCCAAGGTCCAAGAATTGAAAAGGTGCAGTGGGGATCCCAGATAGTAACAATATAATCCAGAGTGGGAAGGAGTAACTGCAAGATCTTAAGGGCTCTTTTTTGACCAAAAGAGTATTCATGGAATTCTGAAAAATACAATTGATAGCTAAAGTTCTGGGCATGACAAAGGATCACCGTGTCTTATTTAAAAGACTCACACTGAGAAGGCAGCTGGTTAGGAACCACGGGTTTATTTCCCTGTAATAAATTTGTATCTAATAAACAGTGCAGGTCTGACTGTGGAGTACTTTTGTGTACCTATATAGATTTTCACCAAAAACATCACTTTGGGACCAAAAGACATAGAATGGCAGTAGAGACAGAAAGTAAAACTTTATTCTTCACATTTGTTAAGATCTGGATGTTTTAAATTAGGTAATCTATGTATTGTTTATTCAACTAACCAAGACAAATTTTCACTACTACCTTCTCTGTTAGAATAACAAACTGACAAATAAGGTTATTAAATCATATTTTTACCTTCAACATCATAGTTTGTTTTTTACAGATAGCCAAGAAGTTTCTGATTCTTATTTCCAATGCCGTTTGCTGTATTTACAAGACAGTAGGGTCACATTTTGCAACACTCTACATTGCATATGGTGGTGCCTTTGCATTCACAACAGGCAAATCAAATTCATCAATGATATCCATTTGCCTAACTTCCTACCCATTTTCATAGTCTCCAACTGTAATTAAAAGTCTGATACTAGAAAGCAAGCTGCATCTTAAGTACATTTTGATAAAAAAGAGCCTTATTCACAAGTGCAAAGGCTGATCAGACAACATTGAGGCCAAGTGGTGATTGGTTAACCTTCAATGATTTCAGTAAAGGGATCTAAGCAATGATTAGAAACCATTCCTTCTATAGAGAAGAGCTGGCATTTTACCCTATACTAAGTCATTTATTGGGAATATTCAAAGTTCTAGAAGAACTGCCTCTATCAAATGCAAAATAGAACCTATTACACAGTGATTAATGATGCAAGTAGCTCACTAAGCTGAAAACAATTCTAGGCCATTCCCCATAAAAATACTGGACTTATTCCTTGCCATCTTCCACAAACAGGTGGATTAGTTCATAAGAAAGAAAACATGGGAATTAGTGTTCAATGTAATGTGTAGAAGCTAATGTGATTAGACATAAAGATAAAATATCTCAGAGCAAATATATGCCTGGCACAGACTTGCTAAAGAACAAGCTCTCAAGTCGGGCCAATGTACTAAAATGCCATATGCTGCACAGGAGGGAATTGGCCTCTTTGTGAAGTAACTTGAGAAGGCTATACAACAGACAAGTCCCATAATCCTGGTAGTAAATGCTCTGGGATTTAAATAGAAGGCGCTTCCTCAACAATTTTCCTAGAGTGTCAAATTTCCAAAAGGTTCACTTTCATATTTCCCTGAAATATTTCTTCATAAAATAATACTGCATCTTTATTCCCTTCTTTAAAAGAGATGCCAGAGGTTGAAGGCCAAAGGTCAAGTTGAGAGAAAAAAAGGATAAAATTAAAAGTAGGTGATGGCAGAAGATGGAGATGATGGAATGCATGGGATCGAAACATCTATAAACTGCAAACAAAAGTTCAGTTCTGAAGCAGTCCCCTTCCAGTTTTCCTTGGAGCCTGCCCACTTCAACATGCATACTTGCCTTGTCTAATAAAAATGCTTTAATTCTGTGGAATGGAGGACTCCTAATGGTATGTCCATTTGGTCTATGAATGAATGAATGTTAGATTAGTACACCTCAAGGGTAAGCCAATTTTGCTGACAGAGAAGGACATACAAAGGAGGCTCTCTCCCTTTATAGTTTAACTAAGTGGCAGCTAATAGGCTTCTCTGCTGCTGTGGATTCCTCAGGAAGAGTACAGAAAAAAACCTGTCACAGGCAGAGAAAAGATGAAGAGGAGAAATGTCACATCTTTGAAGAGAGAAAGTCCTTGGCACAACTGACGTACAAAGTCCACTCTATAAAATATAAAAACACTGTAGGCTATTAACACTGAGAACCAACTCAGAACAAAGCCTGCCACCTTCACTCCTTTCCCCATTGGGTAACAAGGGATTTATTTGTTGCTAATGGAATCATTCCACTGCATGAGACACCCTCCACACGAAAATTAAAGGGGAAGGAGGCGCAGCTCTGGCAGTTACTTGACCAGCGTTCAGAAGCCAATGACAGCTAGTTCCACCTACTTCTCCCTTTCTCCCTGATTCAATTGGACTTGGTTCATCTTTGAATTAACCTCTTTTAATCCATTTCCTACAAAGAAAGCAAATCCATTGTGGGTAGCTAGCTCTGCTGCTCACCACCCGGGCAGAGAAACCCAAGGGGAGGGCGCCCATGACAGCCACTGCCCCAGCGCAGGTGGTGAGAGGGGGTGAACACAGCAGATGCATCTCATCCTACAATCTCAAGCTCCTCTTTAGGTTCTCGGAAGTAGTGTTAATCCGCATTCGTGCGCTGCTGCGTGAACTCCATGCCAACACACTGCTAGGAAACACAAGACGCTTCTGGCTACTATCTTAAGCCACTACCATGAGGGCTTAAGGTGGCCAAAATGAAGATTGGTACAATAAAGAGACATCTTGTTACATTCTTATGATGGTATATTTTGGTTCTTGCCATCTAGTCAATGAATTTGTAAAATGTAATATTTGTATTAGCTATGATGCGGCCTGGCAACATCCCAGAAGTTATGAGAGGGCCGTGGTATGCTGTTCTGGTCCAATTGCTTATGTCTGAAACATACTGATTTTGGAATCGAATGCTTACCCTGGGTAGGCGGGGATGGCTGTTGGGGGTACCGCTCGGACTGCACCATACACTGTCCGCCCTCGGCCCCTCAGGTGAGCTCCTCTGAAAGCGGCTGCCGTGGTGGCTGCAGTTGGGTAAGGAAAGCCAGGAACTAAAGGGAGACCCAAAATATGACAGAAATGTCAACTTGCATTCAATTGTAGGTATATAATTTGCAATGAGAAATTGGAGACAAAATGGAAAGAGTTGCATCATGCATTTCCTGTGAATGTGGCCACCTCCGCTCCTCTCAAATCAAAAGAGACTTTTCCTTGCTGTTTCCCAATTCTGATCACACAAGCAGGGGACTCTTAGAACCACCACCACAGGCAGAGCCACACTCTCTATAGACAGTTTCAATAGGATGACAGCAGCTCCCCAACAAGCCAATCACTAATTTTATCCCATGCGTGTAGTAATTATTACTCAATAGAGAATTCTTGGGGGGCCAATGTTGTGGCACAGTGGATGAGGTCAGTGCATGCTCCACTTCTGACCCAGTTCCCACTAACAGCCTGGGAAAGCAGTGGAAGAAGGCTTAACTCTTTGGGTTCCTGCCACCCATGTGGAAGGCCCAGCTCCTGCCTCCTGGCTTTGGTCCAGCTCAGGTGTCACCACTGCAGCCATATGGGGAGTGAGCCAGCAGACAGAAGATCTCTCTTGCTCTCTATAACTCTGCCCTTAAAACAAATAAAGACAAGTTGTACCATTTTTATATGGTGTCAACCTCCAGGACACACACTAGTCTTTAGGCAGTTCTTCCCATTAGTCAATTTCATTCCTTTATTTGAAATGTTTTAAATTAGGAACGTGCTGTTGGAGGGAAGGCGCTCCTCCCCTCTGCTGCAAGTCCTTTAGAGAGGTCCAGTTGCAGGGGCACCATCCTTCAAAAGTAGGCTTCTGCTGCTGCCACACCCAGACAGTCCCACTTAACTACACATTGGCAGGACAATGGCTCAGGTCAAAATGACTCCAGAAATACCAACAGAGCAGAGCAGCATCACAAGCACTGGCGGAACCTTCCAACAAAGACTGGAGTTGTAGGGGAGGGCCCAAGGCTGACCAGCTGAAGTGGCGAGGATGTGCCTTCCACACCCCGCGCCCACCTCCTCCCTGCATTTCCTTTAGCACCAAGTGCAGACTAAGACACTCTCCATAGGCCCTCGACTCCTCTGTGTTTCACACCTGTCTCTGTGTTGTGACAACCTTAACACCCCATCAGGAAGATTTCAGCACAAGGCGTTCCAACAGTCTCAGTCCCCTTCTCAATAACATGTCCTTCTTTTGTTCTTTACCGGAAGCATATTGCTGTTCACTCACAAACCCATACCAGGCCAACATTGGGTACTTACTGATTAGAGGAATGTAGGTGTTGATGCCCCCTCGTCCTGAAAGGGGCACTGCCGCTTCGTTGCCTAGGGAAACATCTGCTTGGAAGCTGGATGCTGATAGCATTAAAAAATTAAAAAATACAAACAGATTATGAGGAGCGATAAATGGAAATGAGCAGAGGCTGTTCAACTCTGAAAGTGAAAACATTACTGTAAATATTACCTGCATATAACTCAGGGCCGTAGACAGCTCCAACTACCGGGCTTAGTTTCCAACCTGAAATGTGGAAGCAGACAGTAAGCCGTCAGGAGCACGAGGGACAAGCGTGCCCATGGTGGCGGAATATCACTGCGCACACCCCACTGCAATATCATTTCTTGTGTCATCTTCACACTGTTGACCACTCTGGCATTTTGAAAACGTACCCTCTGAGTGAGTTCAAATTTGACTTGAGTCTTGGACCATGCTGGCACTGTGTGTAAGGGGAAATCCCCTTGTACTGGGATTTACTATTGGGGTTTCACTGGGGTTCCCCAAGTGAAAACAAAAACATATGTAGTGATAGTCAAGGCACATTTCCAACAAAAGTACACATCTTCTAATTATTTTGTCTGTGGTAAGCACATTGAAATTGACCAGATACAGACCATTATGAAATGCAACAAACATTTCTGAATGTATTTCCAAATATCACATTTGTTCCAAACTATTTTTTCCAGGTGTAAAAAAGAAAAATATATTGATCCTTGAGAGTGAATGAATACAATTCCATATATGAATTCTAAACATGGGGTCCGGTACCATGGCTCAGTGGCTAAATCCTTGCCTTGCAAGTGCTGGGATCCCATATGGGTACTGGTTTGTGTCCCAGCTGCTCCACTTACCATCCAGCTGCCTGCTTGTGGCCTGGGAAAGCAGTGAAGGATGGTTCTAGGCCTTGGGACCCTGCACCCATGGGGGAGACTGGGAAGAAACCCGTGGCTCTTGGCTTTTGGAACAACTCAGCTCTGGCTGTTGGGGCCACTTGGGGAGTGAACTAGCAGATACAAGGTCTTTCTTTTTCTCCTTCTCTGTAACTCTCCCTTTCGAAAAAAAAATCTTAAGATATTCTAATCATTAAATCTTTATTGAACTCTACGCAGTATAAGCAAATTCAGATTACAAAGATTACAATTATTTTTCTGCAAGGTTGTTCTGATATTGATCTTTAAATAATATCTGAAGTCCCTAATACTGTGCCACTTCTGCTCTAAAAGTATATGAATGCCAAGAAGAAAACGCCAATCCAATTGAATTTATAAATGATTTAAATGGTCATAAGCAAAGACATAATTCAGGAGAAGCCACACTCATTCTGAATGAATCTAGTCTCTCATTCATCATGCTCAGGATGGTGATCTACATTCAAATTCTACTCGAAATGTAAGAGCACCAATGTTCTGTACTGTATCTGTGCCAATCAAATGATTCCGGCCAACATTCACGACAATGCTGAATGAAAAATTCCCAGAAGCTCCCCTGCTGCACTGCTCTGGGAGTCCCTGGCACAATGGAGCTGCTGTCAACTCTCGACTACTCCATTTCTGATATGAGACTTATTAATCTAGAGTAATATTTTTAAAATGGTCTTTCTTCTTTCATACTAATGGCATTAATTCCTGAGCACCCCCTTTAAACCCATCTGCAGGAAGGATGTGCCTTCATGGATTATCACCAACAGTGCACGTGCAGTTTTACAGACATCTCAGCACACCTTCACTGTGATCATTTGAGTGTCACAAAACCCAGAAGGGGAAACAAGACGGGGAACAGGTCTGCAACCCAGAGCAAGCGCTATCCTTTCCACACCACCTTTCCTAGACAAACAGCTGAGAGGGGTGGGTTTTGATGACTTCTAAAGAGCTTGCTGGTGCTGGCATTCTGTGGTTGTTGATTTAGATACGAACACAGAACTACACAGATCAAGACTAGGTCTACCGTCACAGAGTAAAAGAAAGAGTCAAATCTAGAAGTTTAATTTCTGTCTTCTGAATTCTAGTCACATGCTGTGTCATACCATTTTCCCTGGATCTAAAGGAAATGACATACTTTACCTCTCCTTTCTGTTTTATTTATATTGGGTTTTAAATAAAATCATAGAAGTATAGTTCTGTAATAGCAGTAAAATGAGAAAACAGGAGCTGAAGTGAGGTGGTGGTATCACACGAAGTATCACAGAATACAATGGGTAGATGGAATGCAATTTATGGATGCTGACAAATTTGCATTGATCTGTATGAAAAGCTGGACTAGAGATAAAAACTCCATGGTAGGTACCTAACAGTGCTATGTTTCTACTTGATTTAAGCTATTATTAGTGCGTATCACTATACCGAAGGCCCATGTGTTCACACACAAAAGCATAAGACAGAGCATGATGATTGCTCAGGCAAAGGTAGACCCCAACCAGGCCCTATCCCATCTTCCCCTTGCTAGAGCCACAGAGCACCACTGGCAAACACCATTGGGCTACTTGTGAAATTGACCCATCTCCCTTTCGGAACAGGAGTTTAAATTAAATCCAACAACTGACAGAAATGCTCTGTTTTTGTTATGACAAATGATTTATAAATATTTTCCTTCTCAGTAAGCTTGTATAGAATTTACATGCAATAGAAAATTATACACATATATCCCATGGCTGCTATCCCTAGGCTTTGCAAGAACAGTAATGGGTCCAGAATAATAAAAAGTAGTGAAAAGTGTTTACCCTTTGAAATTACTGCACTCATGATCAGATGAAAGCAATTAGTAGTGCTAGTGAGGGCTAGTGGTGGCCAGGGTGTCAGAGACAAGCCTAACACAGCAAAAGAACTACAGCACTGGAAAAAGAGTGTGACCAATGGGGCTGCCGTGTGGCACACAAAGCCACAGTGATGTCACAGTGTCAGTTTCAGTTCCAGCTGTTCTGTTTCAGATCCAGCTCCCTGCTAATCTGCCTGGAGAAGGCAGGGCTCAAGGACTTAGGCTCCTGCCATTCATGAAGGAGTCTTGGCTGGAATTCCTGGCTCATCTCTTCAGCCTGGCCTATCTCTGCCTGTTGCAGCCATTTTGGGGGATGAACAGGTAGACAAAGATCTCTGTTTCCCACTTCGTGCCTTTCAAATAAATATATCTTTTTTTAAATTCCCTTTTTTAGGTTATTGGGCAACCTCAGATGGCACAGCTGAACCTGAAGATGAATTTCACAGATACCACCTCAATTACTCAAAATCTTAGCTTAACTCTAGTGGAAAAGTCACTGTAAAGACAATTCCTCTTCTAAGAAAACAACATACATTTCAACGTAAGTTTTAAGATGGAGGCAGAGAGATTCTTGGCAGTTCAAGTATTTACAGGTGGAAGGAGCTCCTGCCGCAGATGACTGGCAGTGTCTTACCATTTGCATATGGTGTGACCATCTTCTTATTGGTCATTACACGTGCTGTGGCATTATTCACCTAAAGGCAGCAAACAGAATGAAGGGGTAGGCAAGAGGTAGAACATATTAGGGAATGCTGAATGGCTCATCCAGTAACATAACTTTTAGCTTAAAGTGTAAACTTCTGAGAGCATTGCTTTAAATAATTAATTTAACAATATAAAATATTTATGGTATTTTAATTACAGTGCTCATTAAATGAGACTAACAAGAATAAATGCAGTTTCTTGTCTCCAGATGGACAACTATGACTAACCACCCAGCGCTCCACAGGAAAACACGTGCTTTCAAATAGGAAGAAAATATGGAAAAAGTAAATGGTAAACAACTCCAAACCGACAATGAACTCTGAGATTCATACAGCAGAAGCTTGCCACATGAGTCATAAACTAGACTACCGTGAAGATAAGTCTATTGATTTTACCTGCCTTAATGTTCAGCAATGTTGATGTCTGCCTAAGACTTAACTGTCTGAGGCCAGCGAACAAATGCAACAACTCAGCTCCTCACGCTGACAGTCTTCAGGCCATTCCGATATTTCTGAACTACAAAGTCTATCAAATAGTCAAGATTTCTGAGGGCCTTTAAAACACAGGCACTTAGAAGAACTAGGGAATGAAGTGCCTGTTATATTTCATGTTATGGTAGCTCAGCCCTCATTCCAGAACTGTCTGAGTGAAGCCTGTTCACAGCTAGTGAAAGTGGGCATTTGCAAAGATGATGCCACAGAAAGAGGATGTGGCCCTCTGCCAGCAGAACACCAGCCTGCAACGAGGACATGCTAGGGGGCAGTCTCGCACCTGCCACGTGTAAACAGAATCACAAAGAACATTCTGCCTCTTGGAATTCACATTGTGCTAAATTTGCACAGTGATAAGTTTGTGTTATGAGAAGACCAATTTCAGGAGCTAGAAAAACTCTCAGCATTGTCTTTTCAAATTAGCACAGTAACTTTCTGCTTTGCGAGGACAGCGCTTGAAACTGCATTTATTCTAATCAGACCCGCAACAATATAAACATTTCACATTTAGAAAGAAAGGATGGGGTACAACAATGAGGAGACTGAGAGCATGCGATTAAAACACTCACACACACAAATAAAAGAAAGGAAAAAAAAACAGTCAATTTCAGAAAGAAGGGATAAAGTGAAGAGCAAAGTTGTCAGACAAGGATTAGAATGGAGCGAGAGCTTATAGCAGCTGCATGAGCAGAAAGCAACCAAGCACTAAGGGAAAATGGCCAGAACCAAATCAGAAACCACCATCAGCAAAGGAGAACCAAGAGTGGCACGCGAGAGGAGGGAAGGGTGAGCAGGGCAGGGCCAGGGACCATGAAGAGAGGGCCAGGGGAGATAAAGGAAGAGGTTGCGGGCAGGAAAGGCAAAGGCAGAACAGTCAGGGCAGAGGGACAGGAGTGGGGGCAGGAAGTGCATTAATAAAACCAGCCAAACTGGAGTTCAGTAACTCTGAGTAAGATGTGCAAGGGGGGAAATCACCATGAAGTCAGTAATCAAACAGCTCAGGCTGCTACAAAACAATATGTACATCCAAAGTCCGGGCGGCATTATCAACAGCATTGGAAATAAAAGGGGGGAGGGAAAAGGAAGAGGAACAACAAGTCAAATCACATTTTGTTGTGTTAATGTGAGATGGCAGATGGACTTTTTCTTTCTTAATTGTTTTGTAATCACATTTTGAAAAGCTTCTTCTTTAAAGAGGGCTTCGGTTTCACTTACCGCCAATGGGCACCAGCGCCAGCACTGTGTATAGTTACCATGGAAAGAGTGGGTCAAGTGAAGGGCCCTAAATGCTACACCATTGGAAAGGGGGGGAAAAAGCAAAATATGCAGACATCTTACTCAAAATATTGGCTTTCATATTTAATACTTTAAAGACTTGGGGAAAGGGAGAGGAGCCAGTTAACCTTCAGTGCGTTAACCAAAAAAGGGCTGCTGAACGGCATGGCCGCAGTGGTCAAACCCTCGGCCTGAGGATTTCAGCCATAAGATGCAAGAATTAACTGCTGGAGTTCTAGTTATCAGATTAGAGTCAAAAGCAACATGAGTTTTGGATTCCTTCCTCCCTCCCCACAACCCTGATTGTCTCCATTTTGTGCTTGTCACATGCACATGGAGGCGAACTGGCCTCCCGCGAGAACAGCATAGTGGCTGCCCCCGGACTCATTACCGAACCCAATGTTATCAATTTTAGACATTATGAACGTTAGTTTTGTTCAGGCCTGATCACAGGAATTCAGAGTCTTGCAAACTGAAGCAAAGGAAAAAAATCGAGAGAGCAGAAAGATGAACATTTCGGTGGAAGAAAAAAGTAAATGAAACACACACGCACACAAATTAAAGCCCCACATAACCAAAAACAGGGAGGGGAAGGTGGGCAGAGTGTTACTTTTGTACATTTCAGTGCAAGAAGGTGAACACAGAAACACAAACACACCAGTGTGCGAGCACATACAGACACAGGGTTCCAGATGGAAAATAAGTGAGGCAAGACAAAAACAGAGAAATAAAAATGTAAACCAGAAGTTGAATTATTGAAGACATGCACCTCAATTTTACGGCCCTCTACCACGGTGCCGTGTAATTTCTCCCTGGCCCTGTCTGCGTCAGCACTATTCTCGAAAGTTACGAACCCGAATCCCTGCATGCAGCGGGAAAAGGGGGGAAACATGCACATCGTTATATTCACATACTGATCGCTCGGTCAACAGAGAAAAATATCACAGTATGAAACTGACAATCAGCGGCAATTCAGCAATAGTCTCCCAAAGTGACATTTGGTCCATGCATATTTCATAAAGGGAAATTAAATCCAATAAAATAAGGAGCTGTAATAACAATAACAGTTTAATTAAGAACAACAGTAAAAATAACAAAATAAAATACAAAGCATGTGAGGCCAGACCAAAATTAAGGTATAGAGTTACTCGGGTCAAACTATCAGACCAAGTATCTGCACACTTTTTAATGTGCTGCCCTTCTTAATCCATGCTGCTAGTGTACATGTCCCCATGTAATACTAAAAAAAGACTTAATGAGATTGATTCCCCGACCTCCAAAATCTATTATTCTCCAGTAACTGCTACATAAAATCTGACATTCTAGTTCAATCACTGTATAATGAGATTTGCTAGAAGTCGTGATCTCTTTTAGCCCCACTTTGCCTGTCGTTTCTGTCACTACTAATTCCTTTGTGCACACAATAATTCAAGCCCTAGCCTTGACGTGGGATTCTACTGGTACTGGGTGCAGAAGAATGGGCTCTCAGGTCTTGCCAAGCACATGAAAACAGCACTAAAGTGGTCTGTTAATTACAAATTTCCTTCAATGCTAATTTTACTTAAAACAAAAGATCAGTGGCGTTTCAGAAAATTGCTAGTCCAAACTTCACTAAGTGGACACATGTGCTGTTGTGTATATTATTAAACATATTAATGATCTTTTATAGAGACAAAAGAAAACAGCAGGCAATGGGAGTGGGACCTAAATTAGTGACCTCGGTGTGTACTATTCGATAGGAAAGGGCCATAAAACAGGAACACGGCTACTATGTTGAGTCAGGATTAATTTATCTGTTCCTGGCAGATGCTACAAATATAGAGCCGAGCTTTAACTCATTCAGTAGGCAGACCAGGAGACTTCGTTTCACTTACCAGGCCTCTGATCACACACACTAACTTCAAACTCAGCAGGGGCCACTGCGACTCTTCCATAAGACGGCCAGTCAGCTCTACTCTAGGTGCTTTGTCCTGTTCCACTCTGCAGCTCTAAAGCTGCAAATCATTTCTCCAGTTATTTATATCTGCGAAGTGGTAAATTCTAAGGGCTTTCCGAAAAGTCCCCATTTCCCAAAAGCCTTGTCCCTCTAGAACTACTTGAAAAACCCAGGATTCTTTATTTTTAGTAAGTTCTGCCTTGCTGCTCCAAACCATAGGCATTCCTCTACACACAAAGCAGAGATAAACAGCGTGAATGTTCAATAAAAAGATTATATGAAAGTCAATCCAACACTCAGAAGGATCCGATTTACTCCACATTCTGAATGATTTTATGGATCAATGGTGTCTGGAGGATTCGAAGGGATTATTTTAACTAACAATTGGGAAATTACCACAAACACCCTAGAAAGTACAATGCTGAGCTGATAAAATTTTAAAATGTATGTTGCTTGGTATGAAATGCTATGGCTAATTTTAGTTAATACTCTCCTAAGGAACATATGAATTTGCTAAGATTATCAAAGGAAATATATTTTTCAGAAACAAATTGTGACATCAGCATGTTACAGCCACCTGACACCTCAAGGTGTACAAGGGCAAGTTAATAATTAATCGGGTCATCTCATCCACAATGGCATCTGCAGAAGTCAGTGTCCCAATCTGGCAGACTCTCCAAAGTTAAACCTTGACAGAAAGGTCACAGACAGTCATGAGTTTTCATATTATACTTTGAGAAGGACTATAAATCATATTCACAGAGCCTATGAGGGCCTAAATTAGTAAATTATGACTTAATAGTTGGGTTACTATTAATTAATGTGGAGACTGGTGACCTATGGTTTTGAGTCTGGCACTGTAAGCACCAGTGTCTGCCCACCTACATATAAACCATGTGTACTTGCTTGCCTTGAATACAACCATGTGGCAAGACAGGATGTACCTACTGGTTCACTTGGAAGAAACTAAATCACACGTAGGTTGGGGTGAAGAACTAAAATGAGAAAATCAGAAACTGGGCTTTACAACTCTGAGTTCAGACGCTGCTAAACGCTGTTTGTCCTAAAATCTTGTGATTTCTACTATTTTCCTTTCTCAAAAGTACATCTGCAAGAGGAGAGGAGCAAAGAAGAGCACTTAAGTTTATGACCAGCAAATGAGTTTAATACTGATGCCTGCTTCCGTAAGATTTCCTGTCACAACTTCATCCCAAAGCAAAACCACATTTTCAAATTGTTTTCAAGAGTGTTTCATAAAGATATTTATATGTTAAAGAAAATGCTAATTAAGACACCAAACATATAGAAATAATCTTTAAAAGCCCCTTTTGCTGGGGAGGAGGGAAAAGGCTTTGTTGGTACTGTAAACCTTCTGTCCTTGGAGGACAGACAGCTCTTCAGTAGGTAGAATGACGCACCCCTCACAGTGACCATGGCCTTATTCCCAGGGTGTGTGGTCCCTTACAGGGCAAAGGGACCTTGCAGGTGTGCATAACACAGTCATCTTGAGATAGGAGTGGATTATTCGGGCTGGGCTGGGTCGGGTCGGGGTAATGCAACCCTAAGTGTGAAGCGGCAGTTGTCAGCTAAGGTGGCAGGTGCCTGAGAAAGACAAGCCGGGCCACTGCTGACGTTCAGGACTGAAGGGGACCAAGGCTCATGGGTGGCCTCTAGGACCTGGGAAAGGCCAGGGACCTGTTCATCCCTTGCAGCTTCCGTAAGGAAAAAATTCTCCAATGTTACCCTAGTGAGCCCTCTCACCTCCAGAACTGCTGGGTAACAAAAACGTGTTGTGAGCCACTGATTGTGGCTGATTGTGGTCATCTGGACAGGAACTCCAGGGCGCAGGTAAACAGCTGTGGAGTGGAAGCCTACGAGCAGGCAGGCGAGCAGCCATTCTGATGTGCTTCTCTCCCCGGCTGAAACAGGCGCTTCTCTACCAACCCAACCTCCAGGGTTCCTTTTCTACCACATCCAAACTTGACCTTAATCAAAGTTTAGTTTTTTGTTTGTGTGTCTGGTGCTAGGAACTGTGCTAAGGGTGGTCACAGACTGCTCTGACTTTAGAAATTATCAATGACACTTTTTCCCCCTGCTTTCATGAAATCATGTGTAAGTCCCATCGTTCTTGGAATTCTGACATTAAATTTGATCATTTTGATTTCTTCCTTTGAAAAGAACCTGAATTAATACAAATACGCATGATAAACAACTTCAAAATGGTCATAAGACATACCAAACACTGAAACATAATACCCAGTCTTCACAGTTACCATATGTAAAATATATAAACACAGTTACTTTTTAAATCTCAAACTCTGAACAAGGAGTAATATTTTAGTCATGTAAGGAGATAAGATTTTTTTCCTAGCTAAATTTTCATCAATAAAAACCGGTAAGTAATAATTTTAAAATGTTGTCCACATATTTGTCTATGGTAGCACAATTCAACAGAAATAAGTCATATATATCATTTTAAATTTCCTAATAGCTACATTAAAAAAGTAGAAATAGCTTAGAGTAACTTCAACAACACATTTTATTTAACCCAGTACAATGTATCATATTTCAACATGGCATCAGCATAAAAACACTATTAGTGACATATTTCACATTCTTCTTTGTGCTATGTATTTGAAATCTGCATTTTACACTCATAGCATGGTTCAGTTTGGACTTTCCATGCTTTCTGTACTTGTTAACACATGGCACATAATGTTCCTTTCCAGGGTTCTCAGCTCACCGCTTAAATGCACCAGCTCCACATGAGTCACCAAGCAGCCACCTCAGCTGTCTTGTAAGGATGGCACATCAGGAGCATGACCATGCCTAACACAACCGTGGGGAGACAACCCCATCACCTGCCTCAATAAAAAGATGAAGGAGCCGAGTAACTGCTACCTTTTTAGTCTGGCCTCAGACTGCAATAAAGAACAAGCAATTGGATGAGCATTGTAAATGTGTTTAAATCTGTATAATCTTTGAGTTTTCCCATCTCAGGAAGAATGAGAAAGAAAATTTACCATGTAACTTTTAAGGGAGAAATCAAAAGCAGACGATCTCCTGGGTATGGCCGGAACACAGAAATTAAAAAAATAGATAAAATAAAAAGAAAAAAAGAAAACCCATAAAGTGGTAACAAAAGAAAAGCTAAGCCCTCTGGAACTACATGCACTGTTCACTTAGTTTCACATATAATGGAAAACATTTCACCTCAGTATCAAGCTACTGAAAATCTTCAAGGCCTATTTAGTGGAACTTCAAAGAAAGTATTTTGACCATATTTGGAAAGATATAACTTCCCCTTGCATGAAATCAAAAGCCACAGTAAATGGCAAGAAATTCTAGCACACTGCACCTGCAGAAGGGGAACAGTGGGTTTATCTTTGTAAATCCAGCTAAACTTCAACCAAATCTTAATTCAGATCCCCATCATTTCAGAAATGCACCTGAGAGGAGTAATGAGGACACTTTTACTGGAAGTTTGCTGGACGCTGCACTCAGGGTTGCTGTGCCCCATCATGTAGTTCCTCAGTGGACTGAGAACTGACAGGGTACGGAGTAGTGAGAAGTGTCTGTGTGTTCACATGTATAATAATATCCCTTCAAAGTACCACTACTCCAAAGGTACTGTGATAAAGCTTTATGGAAAATATAACACATTGGACTCAATGTATTTATTTAACCTGCTAGGTAATTACAAAAAATTGTTATGTGGCTGGCTGAGAGTGAGCAGAAGAGTGGAACGTTTCAAGTTCAACAATGGAGTAAATTTCTGAAAGACAACACTTTTCTAGTCACCAGGTACAGAGCAGGGAACAGAATCAGGGTCGTGCTTAATGGTGGTGGGCTAAGTGACCATTATTAAGGGTGATAGGGCCAGGATCCCACCAGGGGTAACAGCTGGAGTCCCAGTTACTCTACTTCCTAACCAGCTCTTTCCTAATGAGAAAAGCAGCAGAAGACACTCAAGTGCTTGGATCCTTGATCCTTGTAGGAAACCCAGAAGAAGCTCCAGGTTCCTGGTTTCAGCCTCGCACAGCCTTAGCCACAGCAGTCATTTCAGGAGTCAATGGTGGACAGAGGAGTTCCCTGTCTCTCTCTCACCTGTGTGTGTTACTACAGGTGAAAGCTGAATAATCAGTGAAGCTATATATATTCAAATCATCGTTTTCTCAATTCCATCTGAGTAAATGAAATTCCTGGCAGCATCTTTCCCATCATATATTATAGTTGCACATTTTCAAAAGGATAGTCTTTTACCTATAGTTAACTGTGTATCTTTACAAAGTAGGGAGTAACAAGAAGCAAAACTACAACAGAATCACATGAAATCACCTGACTACATGTCTATGTGTTCATGTTTATGATGTGTATTCTGTAATCTAGACAAGAAACTTGAGAGGACATAAGGAGTCCACAACAGAGAAGTACTCGGTGAAGCACAGCGACTTTCCTTGCTGGGCACAGTGGCAAAGGGAGAGCGTGGGCAGGCAGGAAGGCCTGGGCCTGCTCTGAGGTACAGCTTTCTCAGGGCCTCAGATAGCATATTCCAGAACCCTGGGCCAACAGTCTCATGGTAAAATCCAAGACATGGCAAAAAAAAAAAAAAAAACTACTTTGGCTTGGGAGCAATTTGATTAAGTACGATTTTACAGGTAAATATCGCATATCAGAATTTTTCCTAATTAATTTTTCTACTACTATTTAAGAAAATTGAGTAAAACTGACTTCTATATTGAAAACACTCTATTTAAAAGTCAGAGCAACTCAAACAAAACAGAATCATACAAATTCTCATTTCTCTGGTTCTTTTCAAAACAGGCTGTAATTTTACTCTCCATTCCAGACATACAAATTACAAACTAATCTTAATTCATGAAAAAGAAAAGTATTCATTAATTTATCTGAGGTGGATTCCAGGGGAAGCATCTCTGGGTCTGACTACAAAATAAATCTCCACCCTCAGCCCATGGACACTTCTGGGGAACGTGAGCCCCTTGCTGGGGAGAATTTCAGCTAACAGTGAAGAAGGGCAAAGGAAAAAGACATAGCTCTGCTCAGTGCTTGAGGCAGATCCAGGGCAACTCGGAACTCTGCGCCTTGTTTCTAGAGCACCTGCTGGTTACCACAGTCTTCCTTTTAGCAGCCCAAAGGAAAAAGGGGGCAGTGAGGACACCGCATCAAACTGAGAGGGGTAGCATACGTTTCTAGATTTCCTGAAGAGAAAAGCAAGGCAGGTGCCATTATTCTAAAGTGGAAATCACAAGGGAGGAGTAATTGGATCAAGTAAATTTAAAACATCTTTAGCAGTAGGCAAATGTTTGAAATCAATGAAAGAAGCCTTAAGAAAGATCAATTTCCTTTGCTTCATAGTAATTCAATAAAATATTTGCTTGGTAAGGGACAAGTCCTCAATACCTGAAGAAACTGTCTTGGGCTTCTGCCTGCCTAGGCCTAGGTAAGAATATTTTAAATGAATATGTTTAACATCATAAATCTTTAAGCTACTCCTTCAGACAACAGTGTGGCCAATAATCTTTATATGCTTCCCATCTCTAAATCACTCATTTCTCCATGTGGCAGTTATAAAGATCACAAAAAATAAATGCAAACTATATAGCAAAAGAACTGAGAAAAACGCAAGCATGGTTTTACTGGTTGCACTTAAGATTTCACTTGAAAAATACTTACCAAGTTCAGTGCTTGAGAAAGTCCTGCATAGGCATATTAAACTTTTTTTGCTTTAACTGAAACTGAAAGCTTAGAGTATAACTTAACAATTATACTCTTGCATAATTAAATAATTGTTACAGTCAGACTGAGGCACTTTCAGGATTGACACTTTGCATAGAGAAAGAAGATAATGAGAATGATAACAGTTGGGTGGGTCGCACAACATGACCCTACATACAAGGAATCAGGTCCCCCAGCCTAGTGAAGTTGGAGTAGAAAGTTAAATGGGACCTCATTGGTCAGCTTTACTTGGTATCTCCCTAAGTTATATTCTTAGGGTATTTAAATAGAGCCAACAACTATTGTTCAAGTTTAATAATGATCAAATGGAAACTAATTTAACAACTGTTTATGAATAAGATAAAAAATTTGTAGCAAAATTTTCAGTTCTTACATAATGTTAACAATAAGAACAAAATATAAGCAAATTATATAGCTTTACCATTTTTGTTCTTAGGCAAAAAAAAAAAAAACAAAATAAAAAAACCCTCACTGTATTTATCATTTAACTAACAGTATACTTGGAAATTTGCCTCTCTGGGTATAACGTACTGGAGGACACTGGTTCAGTGAGGTTGCAAGTCACTAGGCTTTGATGAAATGCAGACACAGTGGTGAAGACTCCTCCTCCCCTGATTCAAGGGCATGGCCTGGCAGCTGGCTCTCTGCTCACAAGGACCCTTCGGCAGCAGCAGGTGAGGGCTCAGCTAGCTGGGTCCCTGCCACCCCAACAGAAAACCTGCACTGGGTTCCCTGATCCAGGGCATCCAGGACTGGACCAGCTGGTAGGAGGTCTGTCTCTCTTCGTATCAAATAAAAAATGAGTAAAAATTAAGAGAAAGTCAACTGAACAGCTAAAACATAAAATCTGTTCAAGAAATGACATATTGAATTTACACTTCTAAAAGATGAATTGTTCTCACAGAATTCAGAGAAGAATTCTCATAAAATTTCATTTTGTAGACCTCTTCCTCAAAAAATAAAGTGCAGTCCACATTTCATGTTAACAAGGGACCATCATCTCTCACTTCCTATCTTCCTTCCTGCCACATCTGAAATGCCCCTTGCTTCCCATCACTTTCCCCGTTTAAAGGGGAGAGGGCATGCAGGAGCTTGTTTTTGGAGATCACATAAATCAAGGTGGATAGCTGGGAACTTTAATGCTAATTTCTTTCCCGAATGTTTCAACTATTTCAAAACCCCATAACTCAAAGAGCAAACAAGCACACTTGCTATTGAAACGGAACTTACCTTAGAGCCACGTTCATTAAAGATTATTTCTACATCTAGGATTTTGCCAAACTGCTGCAGAGACAAAAACCAAAACATTTATTTATGATCAGCTTTTTATCCACATGCTTTATTTTCTTCTGAAAAAGCAGTGGCTTTCCTCCTTCTTTAAACTAGCCTTTATTCAGCTTCCATGTTTCTGCCTGCTGGCAGCTCCTAAATTAACTTCCTGGTTTTTCTGTATCGCAGAGTTGTTGGTCTGTCTTTTTTATTCCTTCCTCAGTTCACTCCAATATCTGCCTCTACACACCAAAGTTGTTGTTGGAGGATCAGCATGACTCTATTACACACTTCTCTGAGTGCGCAAGTGCTGGAGATTTTCCTAACTCCACTTTCAGTTTTTAAAATGTCTCAGATTTTAAGTAGTAACTTCTGGGGCTGGCACTGTGGTACAGCAGGTAAAGGTATAGCAGGCGTTGCCAGCATCCCATCTGGGTGCTGGTTTGAGTCCCTATGCTTCACCCTTGGTCCAGCTCTCTGCTAATGAACCTGGGAACGCAGTGGAGGATGGCCCAAGTGCCTGAGCCCCTGGATAAAAATAGGAGACCTGGAAGAAGCTCCTGGCTTCTGACTCTGGACTGGCTCAACTCTGGCAACTGTGGTCATTTGGGCAGTGAAACAGTGCATGGAGAGCTCTCCCTCTATCTTTTCTACTCTTTCTTTGTAACTCTGTTCTTTCAAAAACAGATAAACCTTAAAAAAAAAAAAGTAAATTCTATGTAGAAGACTTACAAGCTACGAAAGACTGCTTTTTCCTCCCCTTATCTAAATGTATACAAGTGAACCACAGTCACTGTAAAATTCACTGTAAAAAGGGAAAGGGAAATAGCAAAAGATGGGCTGTAATCTCATCTGAACATTCTGGTACGCAGGTCTCTGGACGTTCCTTCAGGCATATGAATACAGCAATTATGGGGATCAGATACACTCCACCTATTAAACCTTATATTTCTAACAGAAATAGTCTAGGAACGACAACTCAATTCAGTTACTGAATATCTGCCTTACTACATCTACAGGCTACATGCTGTTCCATCATATTTAAACACCTTGACATTAAAGATGATTCCATTTATTTGTTACCTTATTATTTCTATAACTAACATAAAGAATATTTTAGGTAGCAATTCTGATTGGTAATCACCTATACACTTTAACACTCAGAGAAGCAAGCAAAGCTAAAGACAATCCCTAAATCACTCTGTGGCTAGGCAACTAAACAGCTGACCAGAAGAGTTACACAAAATAATATGATTTGGGGTGGGGTACAAAAGAGATTTCCAAAAATTCATTAAAATAGAATTTAAAAGAGAAGTTTCTTTTAGTGTCAAAAACTGTTGACATCTATGAAATCTATGCACATCAAGATTATTCAGAAAGTTCATAAAAATGTATATTATAAAAAAACTATCAAGATGTAAAAATGCATCGAGAATTATTACCTTTTAATTCCATTTTCTACTCTTTCTCTCTAATATCCATTTTCTACTATATATATAAAATAGCCTGGTACATACAAGGACAAAACTGGGCAGGCCTGGGCTGAAGGTCCAGGGAAGTCTACAGTCTTCTTCAGAGACCTGACTCATCCCAACTAACCAGCTCACTTAGTTTTGAACCAAACTTTGGGAAACGTAAAAAAGACTGAAAAATGAGAATAACAAAATAGAATCTTAAGTTCCCATTAAGTCAAATCAGTACTATCTTTATCAAAAATCTCAAATTTTCTACGGTATGGTATTTGAGCTTAATTCCAGTTTCAGGGCAAAAATGCCTTATTTTAGAGAGAAGGGCATTTCTTTTTATTTCTTTCCTTGGCCTAAGAAACCAAGATAACAGATGGTGCCTCAGAGTTGGCATTGTCAAATTTTTTAAAAAAGATTTATTTATTTATTTTTTATTACAAAGTCAGATAGTCAGAGAGGAGGAGAGACAGAGGAAGATCTTCCATTTGATGATTCACTCCCTAAGTGAGCACAACGGCCAGAGCTGTGCTGGTCCGAAGCCGTGATCAGGAACTTCTTCCAGGTATCCCACACGAGTGCAGGGTCCCAAAACCTTGGGCCATCCTCGACTGCTTTCCCAGGCAACAAGCAGGGAGCTGGATGGGAAGTGTAGCTGCCGGGATTAGAACTGGCGCCCATATGGGATCCAGGCGCATTCAAGGCGAGGACTTTAGTCGCTAGGCCACGCCACCGGGCCCCATTGTCAATTTTTAACACAACAATTTAAGAGCATCTTTCTGAGAGAAGGCCTGCCTTCCTCTTATAGTTAAGGAAAACAGAGCTGAAAGAAGTTGTCTGTCAAGCTCCCAGGGCCAATGGGCCAGCATTGAAGCCCTGGTCTTTGCCAGGTCTGCTGTCCTAACAGGGGAGCAGGCAGAGGCACCAGGGCATCCCTTATGAGATCAAGTGATTCTTCTGTATTTTCCACTTTCTGGGCAGGGCAAAATATAATTCAGAGTCATCAACTGGCTCGGGCGCATCTTGAGTGGACATTAACTTTGCACAGGTGCATATTCTCCTGTGTCATGGAGTCTTGCACTAAGTGCCTGTCCTGTCTCTGATAATTTAGACAGATCCCAACGACTTGGGCTCCCAGGAAATCTCTCCTTTTATTTAAATTTTACGTGGTCCTTGGTAGTTTCTGTGTTCTCTTTTCTGTAAGGATGGAGAACAGCTGGTTACCGTTTTCTGTGGAAGGGCTCTGCAGGTACTTCAAGAACATCAGGAAATCCCTATGCTGGCTTTCTCATGGAAAATACATTCAGGTGGTCAGCTCTCAGAGTCCAATTACCATAAAGCGGCCAAGCCAAAGACTTAAGGCATTTACTCTCCTAAGAAAGCATCAGGTAGCCATCATAATGAAACCGAATGAGCCAACATCTACCACAAGCTGGACCGGCATTGTGACCAGGGGTTAAGATATCTGCATCTTGGGCCTGGTGCGGTGGCGCAAGTGGTTAAGGTCCTCGCCTTGCACGCCCGGGATCCCATATGGGTTCCAGTTCTAATCCCGGCAGCCCCGCTTCCCTTCCAGCTCCCTGCCTGTGGCCCAGGAAGGCAGTCGAGGATGGCCCAAAGCTTTGGGACCCCGCACCCACGTGGGAGACCCGGAAGAGGCTCCTGGCTTCAGATCAGCATAGCATTGGCCGCTGCGGCTCACTTGGGGAGTGAATCATCGGATGGAAGATCTTCCTCTCTGTCTCTCCTCTCTGTATATCCGCCTTTCCAATAAAAAATAATAAAAATAAATCTTAAAAAAAAAAAAGATATCTGCATCTTGTATCACAGGACCTGGGTTCAAGACCCTGTTCTAGTTCCTGACCCCACCATCTTCCTGTCATGCTGATGATGGCTCAAGTAATTGGATTTCTGCCACCAACGTGGGAGATGTGGATTGAGTTCCTGGCTGCTGGCCTCAGGCCAACCGAGCTCTGGCCCTTGTGGCTATCAGGAGAGTGACCCCATAGATCGGAGTTCTCTTTGCCTCTACTAGCTTCCTGATTATTTCTAAGTCCTAGGTCAAGTTGAGTTTGGTCAAATAAAGAGTCAGTAACATATTGGCTCAGAAATGGTACAAAATGTTACGTGACTCAGCAGCCGCTTACTTTCCAAGAAGGAGGGAAGGAAGGAGGGAGGGAAGAAAGAGGGAGGAGGGAAGGTAAGAGAGAAAAAGGAAGGAAGCGAGGAGAGAGGAGGGAGAGAGAGAGAGAGAGAATGAGAATCTTTCACCTGCTGGTTCATTACCTAAATGGCTACAATAGCTGGAGCTGGGTTGCTTTTAAGTTGGGAGCTGGGAGCTTCATCGGGGAGAGAATTTGAGCTATCTTCCACTGCTTTCCTAGGTGCATTAACAGGGAACTGTATTGGAAGTGGAGGAGTCAGGATGGTAGTCTTATCCACTACATCACAGTGATGGTCTTCAGCTCCTGCTGATACGCCCAGGAAGGTAGCAGGTGATGGCCCAAGTACCCTGGGGCCCCACATCCACGTGGGAGAGCAGCTGGAGCTCCTCCTGGCTTTAGCCTGGACGAGACCCGGCAGTCACAGCCACTGGGGAACCAGCCTGGGGTAAATATTTCTTCTCTCCCTCTCTCTGTCACTCAACTTTCAAATAAATACAGACGTTAAAAAAAATCTCTATTTTAGACCCAAAACTCAAGTTCAAAATGTTTACAAGAATTTAGGTCATCAATAGAATTTGAACACAGGCTTTTTGAAGGCAAAATCCATACTTTCCCATCTTAACCTATCTTCTCTGTACAGAGTGTCAGCTTAGACACTGCGGAGGCAGAGCAGAAAGCAGCAAGAACGCATCCCTGGAGTCAGTGTCTGGCATAGCAAGTGAAGGTGCTGCCTATAATCTGGGCATCCCATATAGGTCCTAAGCTGCTGGGTTCTTCCCAACATACAGATGTATGGAACCAGTGCTCTAAAGAACATGTCTTCTTGCTCTTCTAAGTGAAACTGAATAAGCACCTGAGTGTCATGTTTACTAAGGTTGGTGTGTAAGTGGGGTGGGCATCTAATTGTGGTTCTAGCGCTGATAGTCTCACAGGGCAAGGAAATCCCTCAGGCTCAGTGGGTTCACTGGCATGTCCTCTTCTGTGTATGTGACCATCTGCCAGGCGAAGTCTAGAGTGGACTGAGTGATAGAAAAGGTTACTAAGGAATGACGGAAACTTTCTCGACATGTTTGTAGCTTGCTCCTGAAGCACTAACAACAAATAACACATTTGGTGGGTTACATCCCATTTCCCTTGGAAAGGAGTGCAGAGACTTACCCCAAACATCTGCCGGAGGTCAGGGTCCCGGAAGCGGAAAGGAATATTGGAGACATGCAGTCTTTTGGGGGTAGATTTACTCTCTGAATTTTCACTACTCTGTGTCTGGGACTGCTGGCCTTCGGTCTGTGCTCCGCCTTCTGTCTGCTAAGTAGAGAAAGAAATAACACTGAGTGAAAAATACACATAATTACTTCACAAGAAAGCTGTAAAAGTAATTAACATCCTCCCTTACCACAATCATTCTCTGTCTACCTTCAAACAAAAACCTCACCCATCCCAAGACCAAAAAAACCCCTCAAATATATCTACATTCAAATTGTTATGTGGTCCACAAAATCTAGGTCTTTTGAATATTTATAGCACATCAATAAAATAAGAGGTAACAGACAAAAAAAAAATGTTAGGTGACTCGCCCAAGATCACAAGGAGATACGTTCAGAGTTGGAGATGTAAAAATAGCACCTTTATTCTTAGATTCTTAGCACGGTTTTCTATTCGTGCGACCATTCTATTTCTAAATAAAGAATGCATTGTACTAGGCTGTGATGGTCACTGCACTTCTTGGTCTACCCCCTCAGCTCGCTCAAGGAAATGCTGCTGGGGGGCACTTGGGGATCTTGTGTCCTCTATTAGTTTTAGAGTTTATGACTAGTCGGCTGCCAAAGGATCACTGTAATTTTACTCATGAAGAGCAGAAGCCTAGACACAACGGGCAATTTTCCCAAGAACCGAAGCAACACCTTTCTTCAGAGAAGGCCCAGGCTTTCATTCTAATTATGTGATCCCAGCTAACTGTACAGGCATCCCATCCTCGCACAGACCAGAGTAAACCTGCATTTAGAGACTCTGCAGGTTGGAAAAGCTTTTAAAGAACCTGACTAAAGCCACGACACAACCTACAAATGGCAGAGTTACATATCCATGCTGAGATAATGAATGAATATCGTTACACACTTTCAATTATGACTCTCTTTTGCAATATCCCAGAACCATGTTTATCTAATTTGTTTTCACTAAATTTTCAAAAAAGTTGCTATGTTGAAAAAACATTGCTGACAAATATCTAACACCTGCCATTCTAGGCATGCAAAAAGATGTGTATTTGGAAGCATTAGGCTGGTAGTTTAAGATCTTTATGCTTCTACCATTCCCTATCAAGTTCAAGCCAAACAGAATGGCTTGCTGAGCTAATGAAACCAACCAATTTGCTTTCAAAATAGGAGTGCAACTGGCTCTTATTATCTCATCCAAGAGACAACGGTCCCTAACAGCTCCCTCTGGGTGACACAGGCCAGATTCCCTCCCTGGGACCCAAAGTTCAACGGAACTGAATCAGAGGCACTTCCCTTCAGCAATAAGATCAACCATCTTGAAAAGAAGCCTGGAAGTTAAAAAAATATAAAAGATAATCAGCAATAAACTCTGCACAAATACCAGCTTTTCCAGGGTCAATCTAAGTGATGGCGGCTTTTTACCTCCCTCCATTCAGGCCTTGCAGATGAGCAACGAAGCTACATTCTGAGACTGTGTAAGGTTTTCAGCCACCAATCTGCTCACAATGCAGACTAAAGAAAACAAATTCCACCCAAAGGTGAAACTCACTAAGTTACTGGAGCAACATCAGGGTCCCCACCATGCAGTCAGTGCCGCAGTCACAGCACACACCATCGACGCTCTGTCGAGTCCTTTTCCACTTGACTCTGGATCACAGAAAACTGTCTCCACTGCCAAATTTTACACTTTAGAAGTTTTTTTTTTAAGCTTATTTGAAAGGCAGAATGACTGAAAGAGATTGTCTATCTCCTACTAGTTTACCACCCAAATGCCTGCTACAGCCAGGGTGGGGTCAAGCTGACGACAGGTGTCAGGAACTCAAGCTGGATCTGAAGTGGAGGCAGGTCTTGAACCCAAGCACTCGGTTATGGGATCTGGGTACTCAACCAGTGGCTTCACTCACTGCACCACAACACCTGCCCCCACCATCAAACTTTAAAACCAGCAGATCGGATGTGCACGATGACAGTGCGTCACTGAGAAATGCTTGAAAGACTCATTCTCCAAGTTCCAAACCAGCTTTCTACGTAACTCACATGTTCTCCACGTGTCCTATCACATGTGCATGGAGTGGCAGCACAGCTCCTAACTAGGGCTCACTTGTAAGTGAGGCTGTTTGTTGTTCTTGAGAGTTCTTGGCTGTCTTGAAGAAGCACCTTGAAAAGGCTGGGTGCCACACTGGTTAATTTCCTAGTTTGTAGCAAATATTTAGTTTTTAAAAAGTATTAAGTTGGGAGGCAGAGAGACACAGGGAGTGATAGCATTCCTATTTAGTGGTCTTTTATCAAAAGCCTTCAATGGTGGGCCTGGGTCAAGGTCAAAGCCAGGAGCTACAGACTCAATCCAGGTTTCCTATGTGGTGGCGGGTATTCAAATACCTGTTGTTACTGGCAGGAAGCTGAAATTTCAAACAAAGCCAGAATTTGAACCCAGGTACACTGACCCAGGATTTGGGCAATCCAACCGGCCTTGTAAGCACCAGGCTAAACACTCATCCCAAGTACCCCCTCTCATGAACATTTGTTGATGTTTTAGTTTGCTTGCTTAAGCTGTCACCCATCTTATATAATCTCGCTGGAACCAATCAAAGTTACTCTCCTTTTCCACACCTTGGTGTTCTACCCATGCAGGTGCAGACCCTGTCAATCTCCGCCTACAAATCGACCTGTCAAAACAGCACTCTGAATGAACCCAGCTACAGATTTTCTTCAGGCTTGAACCTGGGTAGGTAAACACTGCTGGAGGAAAAGCCTTCGGTGCAGCTGGGGTACCAGCTGGGCTCCATTGGCCCAGTGTACTCACCAGTTCTGCACTCAGCCAGGGTTTCTCCTTTCTGGCCCCCTGAACAACTGTATTAAATCTTTCTTCTGGGTTGACTCAGGCTTTCAAAGATGAGTCTCTAACTGTATAAATGAGGACAATAGTTTCTGAAACTTACTGTTTGCTATAGCGTAAACAAACTTCTCTGCATGTATTCAAAAGTAACTCGGAGGGCCTGATATGATGGCTTAGTTGGCTAATCCTCCCCGTGCAAGCATGTTGGGATCCCATATAGCCAACAGTTTGTGTCCCAGCTGCTCCACTTCCCATACAGCTAAACCTGTGACCTCAGCCCAGGACTCCAATGGAGGCGGCAAGGACCCAACTACTTGAGAAGGAGCCTGCTGCCTCCCAGAATCCACAGTGGCAGGAGGCTGGGTTAGGACTCAGGCCCAGTGTCAAACCCTGGCTCTTTGAAACAGGAACGGGGTATTGCAACTGCTAGGCCAAACAACCCTCCCAGCCCTATTCATAGGTTACTTGACAAAGGCAACAAAATAGGGCAGCACAGCCTGCACTTGTTTGAAGCTGACATAAATGAAATATTTGGGGAAATGCTGCTTGCTTTCACCACCCCACCTTCATCTCAACCCCTCCAGTGCCTCCATGAAAGACTGAGGCAGAACACGCAGAAGAGCTTGGAAGCAAGGCAATTACCATCCACAGCAAGCCCACAAATACAGTCTTCTCTCTCAGCTTTATGGGCTAGAACTCCTGCAGACCCAACTTGAGGGTATTTTAAATATCTGGGGATAAAGAAAAATGACAACGGACTGCAAGTGGGATTCTGTCTTGGGTTCCAAACAGAAAGAACATGACTAGGAAAACTAGTGACATTTAAATAACGGTTGTATTTTACCTGGTCATGTTTCACCAATACTTCATATTATCTGGTTCTGAAAACTCTACTAAATCCCTTAAGAGGCTGCAATTAGGGGATGCTGGTGACAGTATTCAACAAATCTTGTGTATTATTTCTGTAGCTTTTCTGTAAATCTAAAACCATTCAAAAAATTAAAAGTTTTAAGAAGGAATTGCCAATATTCAAAGCAAGTCACATTTAATCCAATGCATATGGTTCTGATTGATCCAGGATAGCAGTTATTTCTATTAACTGCTAAAACGTGGAGCTGTCACATGCATGATCATGCAATGCCTACAGCTCTGAGATTAGCCAATTATTATTAGCCATATGAATTCAAAATTAACACAAAAGTGAAATGCCATTACTTTTATACCACACTACTTCAATTATGTATCACCCAGATTTGAATGAAAGAAGATTGTGATGTATTTAAATATTGCAGAAAAGTACTGAAAGATCTCAGAGAAACTGCTTGGAGTACATCTGAAGGAGATTGTGTCATCTCAGAATCAGAGAGCCCTGCTGTGGACTGGGCTGGGCAGCGCTGGGGGACAAGATCTGCAGCAAATGGGGAAAATGGGTTTCATGGTCAAGTAAATTTGGGAGACAACTGGACTGAACAGTGACTTTCCAAGACAGTGAGAATTGACTATTCTCTTCAAGCATGGGGTTCATGTTTTGTCATTTGTTTACTCATTTTTGTGAAGCAGGCTAAGTGACAACAGAGAAAGCTATAGCATGCACCGTTTTCATCAGAACAGGCTTTAGGAAGTGAGTGCTGATGGTGTATGGACCACAAACAGCAGAACGGTGAGAAGGTAACATGCACTGCTGAAGAGTGGGAGTTACGGACTGCCTCAACGCTCTCACGGAAACGCACTAACTGCACACTGGTTGCTGTGACTTGTTCCACACCCCTCATGCCCCAATCTCCCCTGCTGCCAAAGGTTCAGGTATTGGAAACATGGCCTCCAGTTGGCATTGAGAGGCACAACTCCAGAACTGTGAGACCCCAACTCCTGTGGCTCTGTGTCCTGCGGTGTGGTCTTTGGCATGCACTGCTACCATGATGTTAAGCAATGGGGACATCCAAGTTTGGCCTTTCAAACCCTCAAACTGTGAGCTCAACAAACCTCTTTTTTTAGGGAGGGTGCTGTAGCTCAGTGAAGTCAGTCATCACTTGGAACACCCACATTTCATATCAGAGTGCCTGGGACTGAGTCCCCCCTCTGTTCCTGATCCTGCCTCCCACTGACAGATCTAGGAGACAACACAGTGTGGCCTGTTACCCGAGTTCCTGCTTCTATGGTCCAGCAGGAATTTCCTAATTTTCGGCTTTAGTCAGAACATCTGGGAATACCTAGGAAGTGAACCAGCGAATGGAAGATATTTTTTCCTCTCCCTC